AATAATAAGAAGAGTTGTGTTGCTTAATATTTTTGTGGAAACAGTAGTATTTTTTTCTCAGAATTATTTAATGAATAGAAAGTTCAAAAGAACAGCATTTTTTAAAGTAGTATTTTGACACATTTGATTAATTTAATGCATGCTTGTTGAATAAAAGTATTATTTTGTTTAAAAAAAACCTATTTAATTTTTTTAATATAGCACATTTCAAGACATAAAAATATAAATATATTCATAAAATACTAAAAAGATCAATGCTTGTGCTGATTAATATTTTTGTGGAATCCATGATACTTTTTTAGGATTCTTTGATGAATAGGAAGTTCAAAAGAACAGCCTTGATTTGAAATTGTTTTTATTTTGATAAATGTATTTAAAAAAAATCGAACTGATCCCAAACGTTTGTCAAAAAGAAGAGAGATGGAGCAAAGAGCAATTATCTAAGATAGGGGATTTCTGTGATGAAATAATAAAATATAAATGTCCATGTTTTTTTCCCCATCCACGTCAGGAAAATGTCATTTTTCAATGGAAACAAAACCAATGGCAATAATAACTTTCTATTCTAACTTACTGATTAACCTTACCCTGTCTTGGGGTCCCATCCTTCTCCACTATTAGGGTAGACCACCCAGCGCAAATCTGCTTTCTTGTGTGACTTGGCTGACTCTAGAAGCGGTTTCACTATCGGAGCGGGACAGCAGTTCACCCCCACTGCAACCAGCTGTGAGGACCTACAAGCCACCTGAACCGCCTCAGAAAATCTCCTCCCGCTTGAAATATTATGAATGTCCTGAAACACATTAATTGCATTAATAACAATGTCTAACTCATTTGTTTTAATCAGAGCATAAACAGTTGCAAGTGTTTTATGAATGAAATTTGTTGCTAGATATCATGACATGTAATGCAGTGTATATCCATTGATATCAGTCACCTTACAAGAAAATGAAAGCCAGGCTTTAGCTTCTGGAAATTCTCTGAGTACTTCCACCAAAGCCTCCGCCTCTTTGAGACCTGGAATGGTCTCCATGGCAACAAGATCAGCGCCGGCTTTTACTAAGCACTGGATCTGTGGACGATGCCAGTCTTTCAGCTCCTAAGACAAAAGAGAAAACATGCACTTGAAATTCTAATGTGATGGCAGATTTGGTGGATTAAGAGTTTCAGCCTGCATTACCTCCATTGTCATCTTGTCCTCATAGGCCCCTGTATACTCAGACCCATCATGTAAAAATGCCCCATATGGTCCCACTGAACCCGCAACCACAGGCTCTCTTCTGTCTTCTAGGGGAATTTTTCATGTTAGTTTAAATTGTAGCTGGTGTCGCTACATTTTCTCCAGAAACTAGACCGAATTCATGATTTAGTAGGCTTGCACACACCTGATATGGGTGAGTGAGACATGAACTCACAGACTGTCTCTTTTGCCAGTTGAACCCCTGACATTATCGTCTGCTGCGCCTCCTCAGGCCGGAGACCAAGATATTTCACAAATCCCTCAATGCTGGCTTGATATGTGGCAGTTGTTATGACATCAGAACCGCTTTGAAGATATCTATTAAAACAAGTCAAATCAATCATTCATTAAATATGAAATAGTTCTTAGAAGTCATAGAAGACTAATGAAGTAACAGAAATACTAAATGTAACAGAAATACTAAATGACTGATAGGATGGAGAATTTAGGTTCAAAATGATAACATTTACACACATGTAAGAAGGTATTACAGTAAAAACAGTAATATTGTGAAATATTGTTAAAATTTATAATGACTTTTGCATTTTATATATATATTATTTTTTTTTTTTGTGATGGTAAAGCTGAATTTTCAGCAGCCATCACTCCAGTCTTTTTTTCGGATATATTTTTGTGCAGACTTCTTTAATGAATTGAAAAAAAGCATTTCATTTAAATAGAAATATTTTGTCTTGAATAATTTTGTAATACAAATGTCTTTGCTGCATTACATTTAACACGTTTTAGCCTTTTGTTGTTGTTTTTCACTTGAATATTCATGTAGCCGACAAATCCATCTTTTTAAATGTAATATATAACTATAACTTCATATAATTATATATAATACAGCAAGTATTAAAAGAAATATTCACAAATAATTTACATCAAGTGAACACTTACACTTCAGGCATTGCTTGGCAGCTCAGGTACAGAACATAATAATGAAGCCTGTAATTACCTGAAATGTACGTCTTTAATGGCCTGTGGGTTTGTATGCAAAATTCTTGCACTCCATAGTGGATCTCCCTGCAAATACAATACATGCGTGATTAAACTTGTGATTGTTAACAATACGTTTGTGTAATAGTACCAACCTGTAACTGAAATCCACTTGCTTCAAGTTCTGTTGCCAGACCTCCATCTAGAATGAACGGACTGGTATCCATTTTGACAGATGTGGTTCGTGGAAATACCTTTGAAGTGTAAACCTCAACTAAACATTCAATCCCTTTTGAAATATAGCCAAAAGACCTTTGTCTCACATTGTCGCAGACTTGCAACTTTTTAAGCTAAACCTACATTTAGAAGCACGCTAAATTGTAGCCAATTGCTTAACAGTTCTGGTAAGCAGCGATGCATAACACTGAAGCGAAGCCAGTGTCAAAGTCCACACATATCAACAAACCCATGTGCGAGTGGCATTTGGCGGTCAAAGTCAGAAACTACTACTTCCGGGTTACAGTAAGACTACTATAAGCAAAGTATTGGCTCCCTAAACGTCTGTTTACTCACCGAAAAGCAACGGAATGTTAAAAACCTACGGAATATAGTTAGGAGTTCACAGGAGGTATGGCTTATTATTTTATTTGGCGGTAGCCCGTTTGATGTTGTTGCTATGGTGATGGGGCTTAACAGCGAGGCTAAAGGAAGACAATCAACCGTCTGTTAAACAACAATCAACAAATAGTATCATTCCTTTAAAGAAATCAGACATGGTAAGTGGGAGAGTATGTTTTTCCCAGTCTTTAGATATTAGTAATAAAGGACTGAACTCATATGATCATGAATGTTTGTTGGGGTTTTGGCGGAAGTCGTTTGCTTTTTAAAAAACATGTTGTTGTTTTTCCTCTGAAAGAAACGCAAGTCACATAAACCATTGAGATTGTATGTGTTGTGTGCACTAAATATAAAATACCATATGTACATTCTCATGTATACAATTCATGTAAACTGCAACAGAGCGATGCATTAAGTCATAGCCAATGGACACGAATCTTGGCTATTTAAATCCTAGTTAAATCAATGAAGACAATTCATAATCAGTAACTGCATCAGATTCGTCTGTAAACTCATTTTCAACGGTCTTGGCGTTCTGAATGCTCTCGTTTGGTGTCTCACTAGATGTCAGTATTTGCCTCCTTAATTGTTCAGTTTTCCAAAGAAAGCTCAGACTTCGTTTCACTGACTGTAGTTTTGGCAGGTTTCAGAAAGCTGCTTAACTGTTTTCCAACTGTATTTGAAAACTAGCTGTCTGGCTTCAGGCTCTACAACGCCATACTGAAGATGGAGGATGCCATTTTCCACGGAAATTCATTGAAATTATAGATCCAGTTCAGCCAGAAGCTTTACTAATATGCTTTTTTAGTGTCATTAGCTCAACAATCGAAACCTTTGTTATTCTGTGGGTAACAGGATACTTTCGCCATCACCTTCTTGCTCTGTTGTACTCGCTATGTTTATTTTCCAATTCACTTTCTGTCTCCTTAAGTAGTGTACATTGATCCATCTCCATGCAGACAGCATGAATTGTTTGCAGTGATAGCATAGGGCAACAGCAGGTGTCTGAGAAAGTCTCAGCTTCCAAGAAGGGCTCTGAGAGGAAAGCCCTATTTTTCAGAGTGTTAGAGGTGGCAGATAAGCCCAGCTATTTCCAGTTCGATCTGGCCAGGATCATTAACCGGGAGTCTGTGATTTTGTTGTGCTGGAATGTTCATTTAGAGCCCCCTCAAAGCTCCTTGATTTCTGCTTTCATTCCATTCAGATCAAAACAAAACAAAACAAAAAACTGGGTTTTATGATGCTTTCCCTTAAGAACAACAGATGTGCAGAACTTTGCGCTGCTAATATTGGAGAAAAAACCTTCTATATTTCTTCTTAGACGCACAGATGTCCTCAGGTAACTTTGGCCCCCGGCAGAATGTAGAAATATAGCCCTCATTTTGCACAAAGCTGTCTGTCACATGCTGTAGGGGGTGACAACCCGCCGAAACACACTCTTTCAGACTGGAAAAAAGCCACCGAACACCGCAGTAGTCTTGATCATGAAAATGTAGGCTAGTGTTTTAATATTATTAGTTGTGTCTGTGTCATATTCTAGTTACAAATATGCACTGCAAAAAAATGATTTTAGTACAAATTATTTTTCTTGTTTTTCACTATAAATGTCTAAACACTATTAAATTAAGAGACATTTACTTGAGAAGCAAATTGACTTGAGATTTTTTTCAAAATGTGCGTTTATGCTTTGCATCAAAAGTAATGCTTAAAACGAGAAACAAAATATCTGTCAGTGGGGTAAGAAAAATAAACTTAATTGAAGATTATTTTTCTTACCCCATTTGATATTTT